ACTCTGAACGCACTATCCCCCTCACATCACATAAACAAATTAGCATCATCTTGATCTTTGATTTCACGTGAGGAGCTTTTTTGGAGTGGGGTGGCTATGGTGTCTTCCACTGGTTTATTGATGTTTGCTTTCGGACTCATAAGAATAACACCGTGTCTTGTCACCAGTGATGCCCTCGGGAATAAAGTCTGGTCACTTCGGAGCTGTTCTTTCAAATCACAGCCTGTTTCCACTCGATGCTCTTTTTCCTGGTCGGTCAGAACCTGAGGCACAAATTTCAGTGACCCTTCTCATCCCCCAATCCTCCAATGAAATTCGCTGAACCGTGCTCCAAGGTAGTCCAGATAACTTCCCTGTCTCTTCAATGGTCTGCCAACGGTCTACGAGCACGAGCACTTGAATTTTGTCGACATTTTCATCCATTTGGGAAGTTGATGGACATCCAGTAGGAGGTTTGTCATCAATCAACATTTCACCTTTTTGAAATGAGAAAACCACTCATAAACTTGAGTTTTTCCCATAACACTGTCCATGTAAGTTATGTTCAGCATCACATTTTCTGTGGCATTTTTTCCAGAACAGGAAACAAAATTTTACAGCCGCGTGCTGGTCTCTTAAATCGGTCATCACAAAAAACGAGATTGGAGTGAAACTGCTTTTATGAAAAAAAATTCACTGTGACCAGAGAGAACCTTCCCAGGTGACACCACTGGATGCACCAACTCAGAGCGAGTTGCTTGATGCTCACCTGGTGGAGAAAATGATGTACTATGAAATTGCTGCCCAGCGGAACTACCTCCACCCCCTCTTTTTTGAACTACATATATATATATATAACATATATATACTATACACATACATATTACAAAATGTAATGGCAGCAATCTGTTGGTGGCGAGATTATGGGTACCTTTTTATTTTTTTCCATTTGTTTTTGTTTATTTGCTTAATCAGACAAAAACAATGCATTAAAACAAAATACTCCAATAGAGACTACTTGCTTTTCTCCCTCAATTACAAAAAAAAACATCTTGACTTATTGTATTCAATCATAATAATTTAGGGACAATTATCTTTTTTTCCTGAAGGCAGAATAATGACTTGCTAAATTATTTATACCAGACAAGGATGACTAGCAAATGTTGCACATCATTTTTAATTAAAAGGAGTATGCAGTGCAAATAACATGTGTGATAGACATCTAAAATTGTTTACTGACTTCTCTTGGATTTTTAAATGTTTTGTGAATAGAAAATGTTACCATCTTCTCTTCCATAGGACATGACTGGTGTTTAATTTTGGTAGCAGCCTTAGTTGAGGATGTCAATTAAAACTTAATTTCAACAAATACCCCGAAGTACGTTTACCCTTTGTAAAGAAGGCAGGATAGGGAAGCCTGCACCAAACTATGGGATAAAGATGCACTGACCATTGTTCAAGCGACCTGTGATTGTTTCAACTACAAGGCAGTTCATCACTTCACTGTAGTTCACCGGGGATTGATTGCCTCTTGTGCCCAGACCACATTTTCCTTTCAGTTCCATTAGAAAGAGTGATGCAAGAGAGACGGAGACACACACAGAGAGAGGGAGAGAGAGAGAGAAAGGGTTTAACAGGACACATAGATAAACATGAAAAACCCTCCAAATTCCTTATCCCTCATAAAAAATATTGGTCTGAGTGGCTAAAAAAATGAGGAAAAGTAAAACTGAAGTGCACTTGGAGTTTCTCTTTTAAAAAATCATTTTATTGGGGGCTTGTCCACTGTTATCACAATCCATACATACATCCATTGTGTCAAACACATTTGTACATTTGTTGCCATCATTGTTTTCAAAACATTTTCTTTCTACTTGAGCCTTTGGTATCAATCAGCTCTTCATTTTTTCCCTCCCTCCCTCATGAGCCCTTGATTATTTATAAATTATTATTATTTTTTCATGTCTTACACTGACCGATGTCAACCTTCATCCACTTTTCTGTTGTCCATCCCCTTGGGTGGGGGTTATATGTAGATCATTGTGAATGGGTCCCCCTTCCTCCTCCCACTTTCCCTTATTCTCCTGGAATTGCTACTCTCATTATTGGTCCTGAAGGATTTATCATGTTCTGGTCTAGCCGGATGTGTAAGGTAGCATTGGGGTCATAATAGTGGGGGGTTGTGGGAGGAAGCATTAAAGAACAAGAGGAAAGTTGAATGTTTCATCCGTGCTATACTGCACCCTGACTGGCTCGTCTCTTCCTTGTGATGCTTCTGTAAGGGGATGTCCAATTGTCTACAGGTGGGCTTTTGGTCTCCACTTCGTACTTCCCATCACTCACATTGATAAGATTTTTTCTTCTGGGTCTTTGGTGCTAATACCTGATCCCGTCAACACCTCATGATCACATAGGCTGGTGTGCTTCTTCCCTGTGGACTTCGTTGCTTCTCAGCTAGATGGCCACTTGTTTATCTTCAAGCCTGTAGGACTTGGTTTTTTCAGCAACATAGTTCATTTCAAACCTATGTAGATAAAAAGGAAAGAAAGAGCATTTATTGCATTGTAAAAGCTTTGGTGATAAAGTGGTTATGCTGTGGGATGCTAACTACAGGGTCTTCAGTTCAAAACCACCAGAGTAGAAAGACAAGGTTTTCTATTCCTGTAGAATGACAGTTTAGAAACCCACAGGGGCAGTTCTAACCTGCCCTACAGTGTCATGATGAAATGGCATTGACTCAATGGCAGTGAGTTTGATTTTGGTTTTTATAAATCAGATTGATGTCTTAGCATGTCTACACTGAGGATAAACCAAATATAACCTAACCATCATCACTAATGCACTGAGAGTCAGCTGCTGGTGTTATGCAGCAAGACTTGACCTTAAATACGATTTGAAACCATGTAAACACTATTTTAATAGTAGTTTAAAATCTATTCTCTGAATAACCGGAACAAAACCAAGCCACTGCCACCAAGTCAATTCTGACTCACAGCAAGGGTTTCTGAGACAAAAAGCCTGCACCATTTCAGTTAGCTGCCCACAGTCTAAACCACAGTGCCACCTGGGCTCACTGCTGAGTAGCAGGATTGCATTCCATCTCTCAGTTTTCTTTGCCTTTTGTAACCTTTGATATGTTCTCCAAAGCAGTTTCATCTAAATCAGAACGTAGTTAGTGTTTTCCCATCCTCCTAGTGCCATTCACTATTTCCAGGGAGAAGAGCCACTTTAAGCATGAAGGTGGAGAAAAAATTAGGAAGATCAGGTGAAATTATTGCTTGTAAATTTATGTATTGGATGGAAGCTATGTGAGTTCTCTGTCTGTCTGTCTGTCTGTCACACACACACACACACACACACACACACACACACACACACACACAAAGACTTCTTTGTAAATATACTTTGGTCCAGGCTGTCTTCTGACTAAAAAGTGATTCAGTTTTGAGGTCAGGTACCGGTTTTTAAGGTTTTAATCCTTGTCATGCATGGAAAGCAATGCACCTTGTCTCCTTTTCCATAGAAATTTAAAATATTAATGACTCAAATAGCTGAGGAAAAAGTAAGAAAAGTGACAAATAATTAGTTAGTAGCTGAATTGGGAAAGGAATGAAATTCTTGTCTCAAAACCCCTGCCCGCAGAAGGAATGTGGTCTTAGCAACAGTGCAAGGAAAAAGAAGGTACCGTATAGACTCGTGTATAAGCCGAGGGGGTCTTTTAGCGCATTTTAATGCTCTTTTTGTGGTAAAATTAGGTGCCTTGGCTGATATTCGGGTCAGTTTATACTCGAGTATATACAGTATACGAAGTTAGAACAATAATCCAACATATAAAGTGTACAACGGAGAGTCAGAAAGTATGGTGTCCAGGGTTCCAGTTTATATATGCAGGGAGGGCGTCGAGGTTCGTTCAGTCATACACTTGTCTTAGTCTCATTGTGATGCCTTGTCGGGCTGGTACAACATGGCTTGTGGACTGACTTCTGGGCCAGCTAAGTTCAAGGCCATTGTGAGCTGTAACAGGAATATAACAGGGGTTATTTTGGGATCCTAAAAAGGGTAGTCTTGGTTGATCTTCTCAAAGGGAGCAGGACTATCAGAGGGGCTTATTAAGAAGAAATTTTAAGAAAATGCAAACATTTATTGGTGAGAAAAGGCCAGGAAAGTTGTGCTGAGGAATGTTTCCCATCACTAACACGCACTTGTTTATTCTGAGAGGACAGCCAGGGCTCTCCTGTAAGAATTTGTGATTAAATCTAACTGCATCCACCCTACCAGCCTGGTCTTGCCCCTTCAAACTTCTTTTATCGTCCCTAAACTCAAAGAATATAGAAAGACACGCAATTTGAGCCCCACATATGTGCCCAAACTGCCACTTGACAGGTTGTCAATAAGAAAGCTTAGGATTCTCCAGGAAATGAGTTGGAGACATGGAAACATCACCTTCAGAACTGCATGCACCTAGAGGGGGAGGGGAGGTGAGAAACAATAGCTTCACATTCCTCTCTCTATATAGTTTCTATGGTTCTGTGGCAACATGTTTTTACTTAACCTTGCATACGTCCCAGTTAGGAGTTAATTCAACAATTTTAAATCAACAAGAGAAATTCCTTAATTTTGTCATTTACCTTGACATTCTGTGAATGTGTAACCCCTTTTCAGTTTGGGCACAGTGAATTTGCAATTTATTAAGTTATATTCAGAATCTTTCTCTTTGGTAAGCTGACCTTTGAATGAGGACACTAAACAACCCAGCCACCAATCCACAGGAAGATGGCTTGCGAGGTTTCTCCACAATGTGGCAGCCTGCGGGACAGTCTCGCACTGACTCCCTCTGTGTCTAACAACATACATGATGGAGTTTCTTCATCGGGGTTGCAGTGAAGTAGACAACGATCAGGTTAAAGGGTCGCAAGCAAAGCTCTGAATGAGTAGAATCAGAAGTTCGAGTCTCTTGTTTGTGACTCATTGAGTTTATTGGGGTTCTCTTTGTTTTTCTCATTTTATTCTTTTGTTCCTAGGAAGTAGAAAACAAAAATGTAAACTCAAGGTTAAGATGTGACGTGTGTGTGAAATAGAAAATACTACTGCTTAGAGTTCTGGATTCTACTTCCATGACTGCTGACACAAACCCCTTAACTTCTGAAGTTTTCTCTTTCTTACGTGTCAGAAGAAGAAATTAGAATCATCTGTGCTTCTTTCCAAAAAAATTCTACAACTCTGAAAGGAAAATTGAATAAATGTCCTACAAGAAAATATACGGAAACCATATGATTCAATAAACTACGGTGCTTTATAGTCAAGGAGTCATAGATTGAATAGAGTGTGATTGTGTTCTTTTATTATTACATATATATGCTAATGTTGCTTATCACCAAGTCATCTGCAATGCATACCAACAGAAGGAAATCCAGCCTGGTGCCATTGTTGGCCTCCTGACGGCTGGCATGCTGGAGTCCACTGTTGCGGGCCAAGTAGGGACCGCCTCCCGGCAGTGGCTCGGGCACTCTTCTGTGGTGATCCAGAGGGTTTTATTGGCACATTTTGGAAACAGGTTTCCACACCTTTCTTCCCAATTTCTTCATCTGTCACTCTGCTGAAAACTGGTCTTTCTGGGTGATCCTGATGATATTTGAAATCCTAGTGGCGCGATTTCCAACGTCATAGCAACATGTCAAACTGACAAACAGGTGATGATATTGATAGATAGGTATGTAGCTAGAATAGTGAGTACACAAACCTTTTTTTTAACATGGCTGGTTCTAGAGGATTTCTCCACAGCAAACTCACTGCCATTCAATTAATGCCAACTCATAACGACCCTATAGGACAAGGTAGAACTGCTTCTGAGACTGTAACTCTTTATGGGAATAGAAAGCCTGAACTTTCTCCCATGAGGAAGCTGGTGGTTTTAAACTGCTAATTTTGTGATTAGCAACCCAACATTACCCAACTCAGAGGACATTACCCTAAGTGAGATAAGTCAATTACAGAAGTTCAAATACTATATGGCCCCATTATTATTTTAAAAATCAAGAGTAGATCTATAAACCAAAGCCAAAGTTATTTGATGGGTTCCAGGGATTGGAGGAAGAGGAAGGGGCAACCACTTATTAGTTAATAGACACTTGTTGCTTTGGGTAATAGGAAAGACAAGACCAAAATGTGCGTGAAGTCAACAAAATATGACCAAGGTAAATAAAGACACACACACACATACACATAAAGTATACAGATAGAGAGTAAAGCACACACACACAAAAAGGTATACTTGAGTAAATATACATGCATGTATAGGTGTATGATACGCATGGGTCCTCATCTATAACAAACCACACAGAGGATACCTTTACAGAGACTTTCTGGACATTTCCAAATAACTCATGGGATTAATTTATTGACTCAGGAGACTTTGGACCATATTCTCAAGGGAATACTTAGTCAATTGGCATAACACAGTTCATATAGCACATCTCCCATCTTAAAAACTTATAAGCAGCCATTTAAGATACAACTATTGATCTCAACTCATTAGAAACAAGACAGAATAATGAAAATGAAAGTATCAAAGAAGAGAGCAGATCTTGGGTCTGATAGCCCACATGGTCTACAATCTCTTCAAAGCCGAGACAAGAACAAATGGCGTCCAGCTACTCATGCAGACTGTTCTGAGCAGGGGCACAATAGAAGGTCCCAGACAGAACAGAAGAAAAATGGAGAGCAAAACCCAAATTTCTGAAAAAGACAAAGAGATTACCAAAACATTCCCTTTCCATGCCCCCAGTCTGTTGCCCTAAGATAACTTTTGAACATGAAATTAAAGCCATCTCATTTAATAGATTGGCTTACAAAATAAATAACACTCATGAAAAATGTGCTCCCTCAAACCACGAACTATGTAAGACATTTAACAGAAACAGAACAGAGTGGAAATAAAAACAATGTTGATACATTATGAAAATCATAGGCAATGGCATGGAAAATTGTACAAAAATTATTAGAAGAGAATATAAGTCACTGGGCAGATTTTCACCTGAAACATAATAAAATAATGTCTGGGATTTAATTTAGGAAGCTTGAGGATGAGTAGAAATATATATGAAATGTACTGAAGGCAGGGGCTTCAGAAATTTACTGAATATCAATTGAATGCTTCATCAAACTCATGCAACACTGGAAGTGCTCACATTTGTGCCGATAAATTTGGAAGTTAGCTACTTCACTGAGCCTGGCAGAAATTTGAATTTATGCACCTTCCAAAGAAAGATGACCCCCCCAAAACATAGAAATAATAGAATAGTATTAACACTGAGCCTGGCAGAAATTTGAATTTATGCACCTTCCAAAGAAAGATGACCCCCCCAAAACATAGAAATAATAGAATAGTATTAATATCACACACAAGTAAATATTTACTGAATGTAATTCAAAGATAGTTTCAGCACCACATCAGCATAGAATTGCTAAAAATTCAAGCCAGATTTAGAAGAGGATTTGGACAAGGGATAGCATTGTCAGACTTCTATGGATCTTAGCTGAAGGCAGAGAATGCAAGAAAGATGCTTACCTGTGTTTTATTGAGTACGCAAAAGGATTCAACTGCATAGATAATAATAAATTATGGATAACGTTGCAAGGAATGGGAATTCCAAAGCAGTTGTTCTTATGTGCAATCTGTCCATAGATCAACAGGTAGTCTTTATAACAGAACAAGTGGATACTGCATGTCTTACCTCGGGAGAGATGTGTGTAGTGTTGTGTCCTTTCATCATACTTAATCAGTCTATGTGCTGAGCAAATCACTGAACAACTTGCCTATATAACACTGAATATGAAATCAGAATTGGAAGAAAATTCATTAAAAACCCTTGACATGCCAATGGCACAATCTTGCTTGTTGAAAGTGAAGAGAAACATCGCAGCTTTCAACTTGGATTACATATTAACAAAAGAAAACTAAAACCCTTACAACTGGACTGAGAAGCAATCGCATGATAAATGGAGACTATTCATTTTACTTGGATCCACAATCAATCCTCATGGGAACAGCAGTCCTCAAGTCAAATGAGAAATTGCACTGGGTAAATCTGCTGAAACAACCCTTTTGAAGGTGTTAAAAAAACAAAGATGTCACTTTGAAGATCGAGGTGTGCCTAACTTAAGCCATGGTAGCTTTTTGTTTTGTTTTTAAGCCATGGTGTTTTTAGTCACTTCATACGCAGGGGAAAGGTGGACAATAAATATGACAAAGCATGGAGAATTGGTGAATTTGAAGCATTGTGTTAGCAAATAATATTAAATATACGATGGAGTTCTGAAACAACAAATGAACCTGCTTCGGGAGAAGTGCAGCAAAAATGATCTTCAGAGATACGGTTGGAGAGACTTTGTCTCAAGTACTTTGGACATGTTATCAGGAGATGCTACTCCCTGGAGAAGGACATCATGTTTGGTAAAGGTGAGCAAAGAAAGAGGATTGACGTAGTGGTTGAAATAAAAAGCTCAAACACGGCAATTGTGAGGATGTTTAGAACCAGGCAGTGCTGTTCGGCTGTGTGTAGGTTTGTTTGTAATCAGAACCACTCAATGACACCTATCAACAGTGCCAACCAAAACTCTTTGGTTACACTTCAAATATACATGTCTAGCACCCACTAGAATGTACAAAACTCTTAAGGAGACATGCAGTAGATAACTGAGATGTACAGACTTTAAGTAGGAACTGAACATGAATTGTTGCTGCTACACGATTGTACTGTCTCTCTGGGAATTCTATGGACCTGGCAACAAACCAACCTATTTTGAAACCTGTATGTAACTTCTTTATCCAACAATATTTATTCAATAGATAGATTATTCTTTTCCAGTTGTTCCTCTAGGTGTTAGCCATGAGCTATTTATACCGAGTGGTAGGACATGGTCTCAAGGACATTAGGGACCAGCAGAGAGACTGTCATTAACTTTGACATATTTGGAGAGCTTTTTTATTGTAGCAGAGGCAGGGGTTCCAGTTCTGAGGTCTCTGAAGATGTATGCCTTTGAATATCCACAACGGCAATATTTTCCATAGTTGATGCTCACTCACAATCGAGTGAGTCAGATAGATTGCATTAGTACCACTTTTGGTCAAACACCAGGAGTCACATTTTTTAATGGCTCATTTTTGAGTGGCAGAAAATGAGTTTTATACAGGCTAAGGTAGCTATGTTGTTTTCCAGAAGTAACAAATTGATTGCTCTCCCCAATTATATTCTCTAATAAATTCCATCTTAGTTTTCTCTCTTGTCGGTGAAGAAACATTTATCTTACTTACTCATCTTGACACATGTTTAATTATTAATGTCCAAACTTTAATTTTCAGTGGCTAACTTTCAGTAAGTAAACTGGGCTGGGGAAGGTGATGAAGTTGGTGGTAGTGAAAAATAAGGAATGACAAGGGTGACACAAATAAAATACATATTGAATCAATATTGTTAAACAAAGAAGTTTCGGATATATTTCAAAGAATCACTCACTGTCCTTGTGTGTTTCTGAGACTTTAAATCTTTACAGGAGTAGAGAGCCTCGTTTTTCTTCCACAGAGTAGCTGGTGCATTTGAACCACTGACTTTGTAGTTAACAGTTCCATTTGTGTAGTCCAGTAGGCCAACCAGGATCTGAAAAATAGCATGTAACTTTTTAGGTAACTCCTATAAAGACCTGTTGCTGCTTGGAATGCACAAATGGTAGAATGTTATTTTTTAATAAGTGTTGTTAGTTTGTAATTATGCCTTAGATATGATTTTGGATGTAGATTTTTATATGTACTAATTTGGACTCTTGTGGCCAAGTTATGGTTTTCACTTGGGTAAAATACTTCTCTTGGGAAATAATCGTTCATATCTGTAAACTTTTAGAAACTTCTTATTTGTGCAACATATTGTTATTGTAAACTCATGACTGCCTTCTTATTCTAGGGAAAGTATAACTCTTATTATCAATTGTATTTTTTACTCAGATATTCAAATGTTTAGGCTGCCACTCACAATCACATAGTAGTCATTTAATATAATCTTGCTTTAAATTTTGACTTCATTGTTTTCATGTTTCTTTGAACTTTTCTCACATTTACTCTTCCATTGTTTTTTACTTCTCCTGTAGGTTGACTCAGAAGAGTTCAGTAACAGGTGGGATGTGGTGAAATTCACAAAAGTATTTGCAGGCTTTATTTCAAACAATAGGGATGCCTAGAAATAGGTAGTATTGCTAAATCACTAGAATTCACTTGATCCAAATTCCAGGTGAAAATAAGCCAGCATAGACAGCATCAGGCTATCACT